GGTGAGTGTGTGTTCCTGATGCACCAAGGTTGTGGACTTGATCCCCCATCAGGGCACATGTAGGGGATAACCAATGAATGCATAGATAGGTAGAACAGCTGATCAGTGTTTCCCCTCCTTTTCTCTGTCTCCCTTCCTGTCTCTCAAATCAATAAATAAATGCTACTGGTATGTCTCACTGATTGAGCATTGACTCATGAACTAGGACGTCACAATTCGATTCTTTGTTAGGACACTTGCACTGGTTGCAAGCTCAATCACCAGTGGGGGGTCCTGCAGGAGGCAGCTGATCAATGACTCTCTCATCATTGATGTTTCTATCTCTCTCTCCAATTCCTCTAGGAAATAAAAAATACATATGTTTTTAAATAAATAAATAATTTAAAGAATAAAGAGCCATAGCCAGTGTGGCTCACTGATGAGCGTGCTAGCTTGTGCACTGGAACAACAGGGTTCAATTCCCAGTCAAAGGCAGGTACTGGGTTGCTGGTCCCATCCACACTCTCAGTCGGGGCACATGTGGGAGGGAACCAATCGATTATTCTCTCTCTCTCTCTGACTCCCACGCTCTCTCTCTAAAAAAACTAATCAATGAAAAAAATATCCTCACTATTCGGGTGAAGATAATAGAAGAATAAAGAATTAAATTCAGGCCGTAACCGCTTTGGCTCAGTGGATAGAGCCTCGGCCTGCAGACTGAAAGGTCCCAGGTTCGATTCCGGTCAAGGGCATGTACCTTGGTTCCTGGCACATCCCCAGTAGAAGGTGTGCAGGAGGCGGCTGATTGATGTTTCTCTCTCATTGATGTTTCTCTCTCATTGATGTTTCTGACTCTCTATCCCTCTCCCTTCCTCTCTGTAAAAAAATCAATAAAATATATATTTAAAAAAAAAAAAGAATTAAATTCAGAAAGGTTACAGGATGCAACATAAACATATAAATACGAGTTCAATTTCTACACACTAACAATATATTCTGTGATAGAAAAATGATGAAGGAACCTGACCAGTTTGGCTCAGTGGATAGAGCATCGGCCTGCGTACTTAATGGTCCCAGGTTTGATTCTGGTCAAGGGCATGTATCTTGGTTGTGGGTACATCCCCAGTGGTAGGTGTGCAAGAGGCAGCTGATTAATGTTTCTCTCCCATCAATGTTTCTAACTCTCTATTCCTCTCCCTTCCTCTCTGGAAAAAATCAATAAAATATATTAAAAACAAAACAAAATAACAAAAAAAAACAACAATAAAATTCGCAGGAATAAATTCAACCAAAATGTGAAACATCTGTACATTGAATACTATAAGACAGTGATGAAAGGAATGGAAGAAAACACAAATAAGTTGAAAGACAACCTGTGTTCAACGATCTAGAAATGAAATATGGTGGAGACAGCTGTAGTACACAAAGCAATCTAAGATCAAATGCAATCCCAATAATTCCAATGGTATTTTACAAAGAAATGAATAGAGAATCTTGCAATGGAATCAAAACCTCCATTAACAAAATCAATCTTGAGTGAGAAGAAAGCTGGTGGTATCACACTTCCTGACTTCAATTTATTACAAAGAGAAAGCAAGCAAACAGTGTGTTGCTGGAGAAACACAGACACATACACCAACAGAACAGAACAAAAAACACAAAAATAAGCCCAGGCACAGACTTTCAAGTATCTTTGACAAAGCAGCAGCCACAGAAGGAAGGAAAGATAGCTTCTTCAACGAATGGGGCTGGTAATAATCAACATTCCCATATAAAACAACAAAGCTGGACACTGCTGATAAATTTTAACTCAACCTGCAAAACAGAATTAAATGTCAGTGCTAAAACTTAAAATTCTTCAGGACAAAGTTTTGGAGGTTTGTTTTGGACAGGATTTCCTAAGTGTGACACCAACCACCATACAAAATAGAAAAAATGAACAGGCCAGATTGCAACAAATAAAGAAAAATAGCGCCTTCACTGCACAATAGGAATAAACAAAACGCGGGAACCAAGAAGGCGGCATAGGTAAACACCGGAGATTGCTGCCTTGCACAACCACTTCAAAAATACAACTAAAAGACTGAAAGGACAACACCCAGAACCACAGGAAGGCTGGCTGAGTGGAAATTCTACAACTAGAAGGAAAGAGAAAAGCATACCGAGACTCAGAGGAGTTGCAGTGCAGAAGTAAAATACTAAGGTGCGGAGGTACACATAGAGCGGGTTGGCGGCTGAGGGCGCAGTTGTCTTTTGCAATCGGGAGGGAGTCTCAGGCTCTGAGCTCCAGTTCCGGGCGAGTCTCTAGGGACCCAGACTCATACGGGAGAAGCGGGACTGTCTGGCATCGGTCGGAACTCGAGGGCAGCTTTCTCTCTGAGGGGCTTGCAGTGATTACCGGGTCATTGAGAAGCAAAGCCTCTGAGTGCAGGACTGAGAGCAGCCATAACTGCTAGCCCCGTCCTGTTGATCCCTTGGGACCCACCCCACCCAAGGCCTGCAGGGAGGCTTTTGCTGGATAGCCTAAGGCAGAGGCTAGATTAGCACCTCCCTAGAGATCCAGGAGCCAGGAAGCATAGAGGTCAAAGTGGGACCATCCAGTTTGCAGCTCCGTGGAAACATAAAGGACACACACAGGGGGCAGACTCAGCGAGCACCAAAGCCCCACTGAAGCAAGTCTTGCCCCGGAGTGGTGTCTCCAGCACAGAAGTTCTCCCACTGCAAACACAGCTGATTCTCACAGACAATTGGTCTGGAGGCAAATTCCTCCCAGTGATACCTACAACAATCAAGGCTTAACTACTACAAGACTGTGCACAAAGACCACAAGGGGGTGCACCAAGAGTGACCACCTCAGGTAATTGGGAAGGCTGAACCACTGGGCCCTATAGGACACTTAGCACAGAAAACCACTGTATCAACACAGGGAAGCATAAAAAATGCGGAGACAAAGAAAAAGGACACAAATGACAGAAATGGAGGAAAGCAAAGTACTGGATATAGAGTTCAAAATCACACTTTTAGGGTCTTTCAATAATTTTCTAGAAACTGCCGATAAACTTAATGGGATCTACAAGAAATCTAATGAGACCCTCGAGGTTGTGATAATGAACCAACTAGAAATTAAGCATACACTGACTGAAATAAAGAATATTATACAGACTCCCAACAGCAGACTAGAGGATCGCAAGAATCAAGTCAAAGATTTGAAATACGAAGAAGCAAAAAACACCCAACCGGAAAAGCAAAATGAAAAAAGAATCCAAAAATTCGAAGATAGCGTAAGAAGCCTCTGGGACAGCTTCAAGTGCACCAACATCCCAATTATAGGGGTGCCAGAAGAAGAGAGAGAGCAAGATATTGAAAATCTATTTGAAGAAATAATGACAGAAAACTTCCCCTACCTGGTGAAAGAAATAGACTTACAAGTCCAGGAAGCACAGAGAACCCCAAACAAAAGCAATCCAAAGAGGACCACACCAAGACACATCATCATTAAAATGCCAAGAGCAAAAGACAAAGAGAGAATCTTAAAAGCAGCAAGAGAAAGACAGTCAGTTACCTACAAGGGAGTACCCATATGACTGTCAGCTGATTTCTCAACAGAAACTTTGCAGGCAAGAAGGGAGTGGCAAGAAATATTCAAAGTGATGAATGCCAAGAACCTACAACCAACATTACTTTATCCAGCAAAGCTATCATTCAGAATTGAAGGTCAGATAAAGAGCTTCACAGATAAGAAAAAACTAAAGGAGTTCATCACCACTAAACCAGTATTATATGAAATGCTGAAAGGTATCCTTTAAGAAGAGGAAGAAGAAGAAAAGGGTAAAGATACAAATTATGAACAACAAATACGCATCTATCAACAAGTGAATCTGAAAATCAAGTGAATATTCTGATGAACAGAATGAACTGGTGATTATAATAGAATCAGGGGCATAGAAAGGGACTGGACTGACTATTCTGGGGTGGGGAAAGGGGTGTAGGGGATGCGGGAGAGACTGGACAAAAATCGTGCAACTATGGATGAGGACAGTGGGTGGGGAGTGAGGGAGAAGAGTGGCCTGGGAACTGGGTGGAGGGCAGTTATGGGGGGAAAAAAGAGGAACAAATGTAATAATCTGAACAATAAAGATTTAATTTTAAAAATGCAACGAAAAGCAATCAAGAGGACGGGAGAAAATACTCGAAAATCATATGAAGGAATCTCTTGGAGATATTGTGGATTTGGCTATGATCAGCACAATAAAGCTAATATTTCGATATGGACAGATTTTCACACAAATAGTTGGAGTTCCCTGGGAATAATGAAGGTATGTTAATACTATACTGCAGGCTAAGAACAATGCAATGACTCTGCCTCAAAAGCAAAGTCTATATAACTTCATTAACAATATTTAATTGCTAAGCACTAGTAACAAGCACCTGAGCTTGCTAGAAACATGGTGACACTAGACCTGCTGAATGCAGGGTTGCCAAAAACATGCACTTTGGAGAAAAGCGGGTGTGGGGGAGCAATATCTGCAAAGCACAATTAAGCACATGGAAAATTATGTGTTCCTGTATCAAATAAGCAATTAATATATAAAATATACAAGGTATTCCAAAGATTCTTTAACTAAAAAAAAGTAGTTAATAAACTGGATAAGGATTTAGAGGCAATTTTTCAAATAATATTTACACATGACAAAGAGGAATACAGAAAATGCTTTCTTTCTTTCTTTTTTTCTTCAGAAAATGCTTTCTTCACTACTTAAGGTGGAATCCCTTAGATGTCTACAACACGACCAACCACAAGCCCTTCCCTGTGAATTTAGTGGAGTGGGGAGTATTGGGACTTCAGGAATAGAAGGGAGCAGTGGAAACAAAACAACCCTCCCCAGGACAGCAACTACCCAGGAAACTGGAAAATTCAAGCAGTACCACAGTCTACCTGGGAGGACAGAGCACACCCTGGGGGATGGGGCCGGGAAACCTCAAAGCCAAGTCCAGGTCACTGGTGAGAGTGAGGGTCTTACCCAGGGAGGATAGAAGTTCAAAGTTCTCCCGCATCACATTCAGGTACAGCTGTCTCTGACCCTCATCAAGGAGGCTCCATTCCTCCCTGGAGAAGTACAGGGCAATGTCCTCAAAGGTCACGCCAACCTGTCAGAATGGAGACAATTGAAACCAGAGCTGCGTTTCTGAGAACCAGTAATCCTACTCCTTACACACCTTCCCCACCCTCAACCTCCTCCAGGGCACCCGGTTAGTGTGGACACCAGCCCCTAATGCCAGTGCAGGCTGCTCTCTCATCACAGTCCCATTACTCACTGCATGGCCCTCAGCAGAGCAGCTGGGTTGGTGGGAAGGATTGGGGGAGGGGATGGGAGAGGAGAGGGCAATGCCATTTAAGGTCTGCAGGGCCCCAGCCTTCCTGCCAAGCAACACTACTGCAGTCTCCTAGATCCTGCCTCCAAGACAAAGCCAAGCGTGGGTTTATGCTTCGCCGTTAAGTCCCCACACCAGGTTCCGGGACCATCAGCTCACAGTTCCTCCAGATGTGCACACCACTGGGTAATGTTCATCCCCTTCCCATGTTCAAACCCCAGGTTCACTCCCTCAATTCTGGCCCCTTCCTGCTCCAATGCCACCGGATCTCGCTGGACTCACCCATGAACTTGGCATATGGCGTGTAGAGAGCTTGTAGTCCGGCCGGATCCAGGACCACCCCAGGCCCCTGATGGACCCACAGCCGGGAAAGCCCCGAATGAGTCTGTGCCGTCCTCCCTGCAGCCTCTGATCTTTCCGTCAATACTCACAGCCACATCCTCAGGGACCTTCAGATGCAAGTCACCCCCGTCCTCTCTGCCCTGCACTTGCTGTGTCCTCAGAAGCCACAACACTCCTCTCTCCCCTCCACCTTCCTCACGGTCCTCCACGCGGGACTGAGCTGCAGGACAGGCGCCCTCCCCAGGCTGTGCTGTTCGGTGTAAGAGGCTGTGAGGGCCTGGGGGACACAAACTCACCTCAGCCCAGCTCCTCAGCACCGGCGCCGCCATTGCCCTCTGTGGATGCAGCGCGGCGGGAGCAGAAGTCGCTGCAGGAACGGAGGTCCCTGGCCCGGCGCTGGGCGGGTCTGGTGGCGACTCCGAGCTTCAATCCCACGTGTGCGCTGTGAGCACCACTGGAGGCTCCCACCACGGGCTGCGAGGCCGGGAGCACCACTCTCCAGCCTTCCCCACTGGACTCAGCGACCAGGTACCGCCGACCGCTAAAGACAAAATGGAGAAAAGACCGGTCCCGCACACCAGAACTTGAAAAACGGAAACGCCCTTTCTGAGCTTCCTTTGGCTCAGCCCGGTGGCATTCCACGCGCGGCCTTCTGGGTAATGTAGTTCCCATGCTCCACGGCCAGGATCCTATATTTCCTCAGCTGACTCCAGGAATGGTTTTGAGGGCAAATAGCCCAAGAAAACACCAAGTATACTCTGGACCCTCAGTGCCTTCAGGGGAGGTGATTTCAAGGGCAAGTTTGTTTCTGGGGCACCCGCGTGGCTTCCTTTAGCTGCTGGATTTGCATATCTTTCTTCAGGACAAGCTCTTTCTGAATGGCAGGCATTGTGTCTTCTTTCAGGCCATTAGGCATCTGTCTCCTTCAGGCTAAATGTAGCTTGCAGAGGTTGCTCAAGTGTCTAACTCATCTAACCTGCCTCCATTGAACGAAGTTAATGTCTCAAAACAGACATCACTATTTAAGAGCATCTGCTTCTGGGGCCATTTGAAGTGCCAGCTCTGCCTGGGCTGCAGTGTGGATAAGGTGGCCAAGAGACATATGAAAAAATGGTGAAAGACGCTGATCATCAATGAGATGTAAATTAAAGCAACAATTAGATACCACCTCACAACTGTCGGCATGGCTACCGGTAACAAAGGACAAGTGCTGGTGAGGAATAGGAAAAAAGGGAACCCTAGTACACTGCTGGTAGGAATGCAGACTGGTGCAGATATTATGGAAAACATAGGGAGTTTCCTCAAAAAATTAAATATGGAACTGCCATTTGATCCTGTGATCACACTTCTAAGAATATATCCTAAGAAACCTGAAACAACAATCAGAAAGAATGTACGCACCGCTATGTTCATAGCAGCACAATTTACAATAGTTAAGATTTAAAAACAACCCAAATGCCCTTCAGTAGATGAATGGATAGAAAAGCTGTGGTACATTTATACCATGGAATGCTACACAGCGGTTAGAAGGAAGTATCTCTTACCCTTTCACACAGCATGGACGGACCTGGAGAGCATCATGCTAAGTGAAATAAGTCAGTCAGATAAAGAAAAGCATCACTTGATCACACACATAGATGGAACCTAATTAACAAAATTAACTGAAGAATGGAGTGGATCCAGAGACATAGAAGCATGGGAGAGAGTGCAGAATCTCAGATGGAACTCGAAGGAGGGTAAAAAAAAAAAAAGAGAATAAACATCCCTGGGTGAGGATTAAAGAAACACACACAGACTCACACACACATACCAAACAAAGCCACATGAGCCTTGAGCATTTTCTTCTGTTCTCTGGCAGCAACGAGAAAGCTCTAGCTTGCTGTGTTCTGGTTTGGCTCTAAATTTGTGTTTGTAAATCTGTCTTCAGTCAACTCTGTCCCTGGAATTGCTGACCCCCCATCCCCCCATGTAACTTTCACCTGCTTCACATGAGTCAATTGCTTTTGGTGTTGTTGTAAGGAATGTCCAAACCTGTGGGGAATTTTTCTAAGTTTCTTTGACCCAAGTTGGCAATATTTGCCAGGAAGCAAAATAACAACAGATTGAGTAATGGTAAGAGGAACGGCAGTTTTGCACCTTTTTCATACATGAGACTCAAAGAAGACATATGGGGGTTACATGAAATTCACTGGTAAAAAATTAGAGTGGGGAGGACTGAGGAGGGAAATTTCTGGGATTGAATAAAAAGTTAAAAAAATAGACACAAACCTCTTTTTATTTTTTTTTATTTTTTATATTTTTTATTGATTTTTTTACAGAGAGGAAGGGAGAGACATACAGAGTTAGAAACATCGATGAGAGAGAAACATCGATCAGCCGCCTCCTGCACACGCCCTACTGGGGATGTGCCCGCAACCCAGGTACATGCCCTTGACCTGAATCAAACCTGGGACCCTTCAGTCCGCAGCCTGATGCTCTATCCACTAAGCCAAACCGGATTCGGCCAAACCTCTTTTTAAAATATTCTCCAAGCTGTAACCGGTTTGGCTCAGTGGATAGACCATCGACCTGCTGACTGAAAGGTCCCAGGTTCAATTCCGGTCAAGGGCATGGACCTTGGTTGCGGGCACATCCCCAGTAGGAGGTGTGTAGGAGACAGCTGATCAATGTTTCTAACTCTCTATCCCTCTCACTTTCTCTATGTAAAAAAATCAACACAATATACTTTTCTTATTTTTCTTGTTTCTTTTAAATATATTTCATTGATATTTTACAGAGCGGAAGGGAGAGGGATAGAGAGTTAGAAACACCGATGAGAGAGAAACAGCTGCCTCTTGCACATCCCCTACTGGGGATGTGCCTGAAACCATGGTACATGCCCTTGACCAGAATCGAACCTGGGACCCTTGAGTCCGGAGGCTGACACTCTATCCACTGAGCCAAACTGGTTAAAGCCAATATACTTTTCTTAAAAAAATGTTCTCCAATACTTAAGAGGTAATATTTAACACAACTACAATAATAATTCTAGCTCTGAGATCTTCTGTGTTTGGAGATTGTGCCCTTAGGTGTCTGTAAAAAAAGGAAATTTCCCTGAAAATCCAGAGGTATGTTATCCTAGATGCAAAAAGAAAATTGACAGGCTTAATAAGGTAAAGATTGGCCTTTGCAAAGAAACAAAAGAAAAAAAGGAGGCTAGGACATAACTATCCCTGTGAGTTGCTTTTACTTAGAAAGTTTTAATTTCAAACCATCGTAGGTGGTTACTTTTGTCCTCTGAGTTTGTAGGATTCACCATGCCATGCCAGGCTCCCTGAGCTCCCTATGGTTACTATGTACCCTCATTTTTGTCCTTACTGTGGTGTTGAAACCTGTGGTGTCAGGAGAAAAATCACTGAGTGGTTTATTTCCTTCGGGACCCATTGCTGACATCCTCCTGAACACAATGCCCCCAGTACCGCTGGTGTCCCTTTGTTTGTTCTCCTAGAAGTATTCACTCTTCAGGTCAATAAAGCCTTAGGTTCTAAAAGTGGTCAAGGAATTTGTAAGGACAAGAAGAAGGTCTTTCTGTTTCTTTTCTGTGACCTTCCACAACTTATGAGAAGCACTTGCTAATTAAACCCCAAAATTACTGGCTCCTCTAATTCAAAAAGCTCCTCTGTTCAAACTGCCGAACAAGATTAGCTACTTTTAAGGCTAAATTCTTACATACCCCTCCTTCCTGCTGTTGTTACACCTCAGGGATAACTCACACCAATGAGTCTCTAGTTAGTATAAAGTTTCCTCACCTCCACTCTTTCAAACAAGCCTCTTTTGAACTCTTCATAACATTTTCTCTTGTCATATTTTATAGGCTGGGAAAGAAACTGATAAGACACCTCCCTAGAACATCTGCCAGACTGTCTCCTGGAAAACAAACAAACTAACTTTTAAGGACAGCCCCTCTTATATAAACAACTTCAGCTCAACCCATGGCCCCTCCATTCTTTGTCCCTTAGTAACAGGCACTGCTGAAAAGCAGAAGCCACCATTTCTTCCCTGCCCTGTATTGACCAGCAATACTTGGCCTTTTCCTCTCTTGGAAAGTAAAATAAACTTCCTCTCTGCATTGCTTTTGGTTGTGAATTCTTTCACAGGCTGTATCACCGCCCAAAACTTAACAGTATTCCTTTATTTCGTGGAGTTACGGGAGTGATTGTGAAAGAAGATGAGGGAAATGACATTGTAGAGGCAAAATAATTTTCCCTTCTTTTGTAAGTTCTTTGGTTAGTCTACAAATTAAATGGTTAGCCTTAGCTGATTTGGCTTAGTGGATAGAGTGTCGGCCTGTGGACTGAAGGGTTCCTGGTTCAATTCCAGTTAGGGGCACATTGCCGGGTTGTGGGCTTGATCCCCAGTGTGGGGCACACAGGAGGTAGCCCAGAAATGATTCT